GACAATAGATCTCATTTACTCATTTAGTTGTCGACCTCGTAGGTTAGCACTTTCAGTCCTTGTGGAAGTTTTGGCAGTTTAGAGAGGTGCAAATTAAATAGGAATGGTGACAAATCCCTGCACTAAGGAACTTCTAGTTAAATTTCTGATTACAAAACAACATTAATAAATAATACTCTAACAAAATTAGCACTCATTTGGCTAATGAGGTCCCACTAAACGTTTCAGTTGTTATTCGATATTCGTCATGACACTTTGGTTTAATTATCTATTACGTTTAGTTATTTTTCATGGACTATTTGTTGGTTTCATTACGATTTATATAGATATCACTAGACGCCGGATAAAATCCTATAGATTTGTGAAAATCTTTGTATATTTCCAAAATCTTTGCTGTATTGCAATTACGACATGGCATTTTATGGCAAATTTTATTAATTTCGATATACTTAGTACCGAAAGTCTAGTTCTATCATATGCTTTTTTTGGTGTCAACATAACTCGTCTAATTTCAATTGTTTTGGTTACTTGGTTGCGTTTGAAAGGAGATAAACTTTTGGAGAAATGGTTGAAAATATTTCTGGAACTACAGAGCAAATATTTTGATAAACTGCTAAAAACTTCTGTGGATGGAAAAACTAAAATAATATTGATATTTAACATCATTATGATCAGCACAAATAGTTTGATTACTTTAGTTATTATAGTGCCATCATTGTTGGATGGAGATTGGTTTTCTTTAATGCTTGATTATTTGGACGGTTATTTTTATGCCCTGGAACATTATATAATGCTGCACCATATTCTCATATTGAGCTATATTAATCATTGTTTCTCTCTATTAAATGATAAGCTAAGATATGGTTCAGTGAAACGATCGTTTGTTAATATGTACTTTCAACTTGCAAAATTATTGCAGGAAGTAAATGGCGCCTATGGTCCCATGATATTCAATATGTTTTTATGTATATTGCTAACCAGTTCAATATTTGCTGATAGTATCATTATATATATAAAAAATGGCGAATATAAATTGAATTTATTCGAGTTTTTTGTACAAGTTAGTGCTTTAATATTTATGTGGATCGATTTATATTTATATTTTTTAATATGTGATCGTGTAAACGAGACCTCATGGGAAACCAAGAGAATTATTTTGGAATATTGTACTAGAAGTGATGATAATCAGGAAGTATGATGCAAACAGTGTATGGAATTATAACTTTTTGATATTTCTTCTTTTGCAGATTGATTTGTTGTTTCTAGAACATTTAGTTTTGCGGCTTAAGATCAACATCTGTGGCATGTTTGATTTGGATTTAAGTTCATTTTTTGCTTTGGTGGCAGGAATTGTTTTAAATGCAATTGTTTTAATTCAAATTCATTATACACTTTTAATAGAATATTCGTATGATTACTAGTTGCTTAAGATTTCAAAATTTCATATTTCATAAATGGTTTTGCAAATTTATTTAATAAAATTTTCTCCTCCTTAATCCAACTCAAGTACGACATCATTGTCCAGTTTGTTCTGATTGAGATAAAATGAACTACCTGCCTACCTACCAACAACCTAACTAAAACTAACTAACTAACTAACTAACTAACTAACTAACTAACTAACTAACTAACTAACTAACTACTAACTAACTAACTAACTAACTAACTAACTAACTAACTAACTAACTAACTAACTAACTAACTAACTAACTACTAACTAACTAACTAACTAACTAACTAACTAACTACTACTAACTAACTAACTAACTAACTAACTAACTAACTAACTAACTAACTAACTAACTAACTAACTACTAACTAACTACTAACTAACTAACTAACTACTAACTAACTAACTAACTAACTAACTAACTACTAACTAACTAACTAACTAACTAACTAACTAACTAACTAACTAACTAACTAACTACTACTAACTAACTAACTAACTAACTAACTAACTAACTAACTAACTAACTAACTAACTAACTAACTAACTAACTAACTAACTACTAACTAACTAACTAACTAACTAACTAACTAACTAACTAACTAACTACTAACTAACTAACTAACTAACTAACTACTAACTAACTAACTAACTAACTAACTACTAACTAACTAACTAACTAACTAACTAACTAACTAACTAACTAACTAACTAACTAACTAACTAACTAACTAACTAACTACTAACTAACTAACTAACTAACTAACTAACTAACTACTAACTAACTAACTAACTAACTAACTAACTAACTAACTAACTAACTAACTAACTAACTAACTAACTAACTAACTAACTAACTAACTACTAACTAACTAACTAACTAACTAACTAACTAACTAACTAACTAACTAACTAACTAACTAACTAACTAACTAACTAACTAACTAACTAACTAACTAACTAACTAACTAACTAACTAACTAACTAACTAACTAACTAACTAACTAACTAACTAACTAACTAACTAACTAACTAACTACTAACTAACTAACTAACTAACTAACTAACTAACTACTAACTAACTACTAACTAACTAACTAACTAACTAACTAACTAACTACTAACTAACTAACTACTAACTAACTAACTAACTAACTAACTAACTAACTAACTAACTAACTACTAACTAACTAACTAACTAACTAACTAACTACTAACTAACTACTAACTAACTAACTAACTAACTAACTAACTAACTAACTAACTAACTAACTAACTACTAACTAACTAACTAACTAACTAACTAACTAACTACTAACTAACTAACTAACTAACTAACTAACTAACTAACTAACTAACGAACTAACTAACTAACTAACTAACTAACTAACTAACTAACTAACTAACTAACTAACTAACTAACTAACTAACTAACTAACTAACTAACTAACTAACTAACTAACTAACTAACTAACTAACTAACTAACTAACTAACTAACTAACTAACTAACTAACTAACTAACTAACTAACTACTAACTAACTAACTAACTAACTACTAACTAACTAACTAACTAACTAACTAACTAACTAACTAACTAACTAACTAACTAACTAACTAACTAACTAACTAACTAACTAACTAACTAACTACTAACTAACTAACTAACTAACTAACTAACTAACTAACTAACTAACTAACTAACTAACTAACTAACTAACTAACTAACTACGAACTAACTAACTAACTAACTAACTAACTACTAACTAACTACTACTAACTACTAACTAACTAACTAACTAACTAACTACTAACTAACTAACTAACTAACTAACTAACTAACTAACTAACTAACTAACTAACTAACTAACTAACTAACTAACTACCTAACTAACTACTAACTAACTAACTAACTACTAACTAACTAACTAACTAACTAACTACTAACTAACTAACTAACTAACTAACTAACTAACTACTAACTAACTAACTAACTAACTAACTACTAACTAACTAACTAACTAACTAACTAACTAACTACTAGCTAACTAACTAACTAACTAACTAACTAACTAACTAACTAACTAACTAACTAACTACCTTACTAACTAACTAACTAACTAACTAACTAACTAACTAACAACTAACTAACTAACTAATCTATAGTCTAGACTATTCTAGTCTATAGTCTATAGTCTATTCTGTAGTCTATTCTGTAGTCTATTCTGTAGTCTATTCTGTAGTCTAGTCTATAGTCTAGTCTATAGAATAGTCTATAGTCTAGACTACAGTTTAGTCTATTGTCTAGTCTATAGTATAGTCTATAGTCTAGACTACAGTTTACTCTATTGTCTAGTCTATTGTCTAGTCTCTAGTCTAGTCTATAGTCTAGTCTATAGACTAGTCTATAGTCTAGTCTATAGTCTAGTCTATAGTCTAGTCTATAGTCTAGTCTATAGTCTAGTCTATAGTCTAGTCTATAGTCCAGTCTATAGTCTAGTCTATAGTCTAGTCTATAGTCTAGTCTATAGTCTAGTCTATAGTCTAGTCTATAGTCTAGTCTATAGTCTAGTCTATAGTCTAGTCTATAGTCTAGTCTATAGTCTAGTCTATAGTCTAGACTACAGTTTAGTCTATTGTCTAGTCTATTGTGTAGTATCTAGTCTAGTCTATAGTCTAGTCTATAGTCTAGTCTAGTCTAGTCTATAGTCTAGTGTATAGTCTAGTGTATAGTCTAGTCTATAGTCTAGTGTATAGTCTAGTCTATAGTCTAGTCTATAGTCTAGTCTATAGTCTAGTCTATAGTCTAGTCTATAGTCTAGTCTATAGTCTAGTCTATAGTCTAGTCTATAGTCTAGTCTATAGTCTAGTCTATAGTCTACTCTATAGTCTAGTCTATAGTCTAGTCTATAGTCTAGTCTATATTCTAGTCTATAGTCTAGTCCATAGTCTAGTCTATAGTCTAGTCTATAGTCTAGTCTATAGACTAGTCTATAGTCTAGTCTATAGTCTAGTCTATAGTCTAGTCTATAGTCTAGTCTATAGTCTAGTCTATAGTCTAGTCTATAGTCTAATCTATATTCTAGTCTATAGTCTAGTCTATAGTCTAGTCTATAGTCTAGTCTATAGTCTAGTCTGTAGTCTAGTCTATAGTCTAGTCTATAGTCTAGTCTATAGACTAGTCTATAGTCTAGTCTATAGACTAGTCTATAGTCTAGTCTATAGTCTAGTCTATAGTCTAGCCTATAGTCTAATCTATATTCTAGTCTATAGTCTAGTCTATAGTCTAGTCTATAGTCTAGTGTATAGTCTAGTCTATAGTCTAGTCTATAGTCTAGTCTACAGTCTAGTCTATAGTCTAGTCTATAGTCTAGTTTATAGTCCAGGTTCTAGTTATAGTCTAGTCTATAGTCTAGGTTATAGTCTAGTCTATAGTCTAGGTTATAGTCTAGTCTTTAGTCTAGTCTGTAGTCTAGTCTATAGTCTAGTATTTCTTTATGGATACTACAAGAGAAAATACATTTATTTTTATATTAAATCCAAACAAAATCTTAATAATCATAAGATAACTCTATTAATTTTGTATAATGTATTTGGAATAAGATAATTGCATTTAAAACAATACCACCAACCAGGACAAAGAATGAATTTAAATCTATATCAAACATGCGACAGATATTGATGTTAGATCCCAAAACTAAACGTCCTAGAAATAATAATTCAACCTGTAAAAAGGAGAAATTTTTAAAATTATTTTTAGCTTTTAATAAACATATAGAACAAACCTCCTGATTATTATTTCTAATAGTATATTCCAATATAACTCTCTGGGTTTCTCTTGCAGTCTCATTCACACGATCACATATTAAGAAATATAAATATAAATCGATGGACATAAATATTAAAACGCTTGCTGGTAATAAATACTCGTATTCTAGAAAATTTTCGCCATTTTTTATATTTATTAAAATGCCGTAAGTAGATATTGAATTGGTTAGCAGAATGCTCAAAAGCATGCTGAAAATGGTGGAACCATAGAGGGCATTCAATTCTTGCAATACTTTCGATAGACGAAAATAAACATTGGCTAACGGTGGTTCCACTTTTCCATATTGCAGCTTCTCATTTAATTGAGAAAAACAATAATTAATATAACTTAATATAAGTCCATGATGCAGCATTGCATAATGTTGTAGGGCGTATAAATAGCCATCCCAAAAAACTATGACGGCGTAGACCCAAGCTTCTTCCAGTAATATTGGCACAATTTTAATTAGAGTAATCAAACTATTGGCAGTCATTATTATAATGTTGATTATCATTATTATTTTAGTATTTCCCCCATTAGCCTCGTAAAGTATTCCATCAAAATATTGGCGCTGCAGCGACAAAAACATTTTCAAACATTTCTCCAAAATTTGATCTCCTTTGAAACGCAACAATATGATCATAACCAAAGAAATCAGGCGTGAAAAGCTAACGCCTATATAAGCAAATGATATAACCAAATTTTCACTAATACGTATATCAAACTGAATAAAATCGTCTATAAGATACCATGTGGTAATGGTTATATATACGAAATTTTGCAAACATACAAAGATTTTCACATAACTATAGGATTTCACCAGGCGTCTAGAAACATCTATATAAACACAGGTAAAACCAAGAAATATTCCATGATATATAACGAGACGTAATAGATAATTGTACCAATGTGTCATGACGAATACTGAATAACAACTGAAACGTTCAGACGGACCACCTCATTAGCCAAATGTGTGCTAATTATGTTAAAGTGGTTCTTGCTAATGATGTTTCGTAATGAAATGTTTAACTAGAAATTCCTAAGGGCAGGGATTTGTCGCCATTTCTATTTAATGTCTACCTCCCTAAACTCCTAAAACATACAGAAGGAGTGAAAAAACTAACCAATGCGGAGTACAATAACTTCTTCATAAGATACTCTAGATTATCTAGATCCAAAAGTTTTGTCTGTATCGGCTTGAGATCTTCGAGAACCCTTAAATTTACAGCAAAAAAAATAGGACAAAATTCTTTAAAAGTGATTTGAGGGGAAAACATATACATAGTTGTTCCAGATCATTCATACATAATAAAGAACAAATCTTATTATGTATGTACTTTAATAACCCCTTCCAGTAAAAAATTTACTAATTGTCTCATTGAAGTAATTGCATTGATTTTTCAATTTCCCATTTGATTGATTAATGAATAAAAACGATTACAGTATTTTGCTCAAGCAATCCCAAGATTTCATATGGCTCGTGCCCAAACTGTGAACAACAAATAATAATAAAACCAATAACAAACGTAAAGTCGACTGTTTGATGCCCTACAAGAAGACAAAACAAATTTAGGAAATTATGACACGGTTAGTCTATAGTCTATAGTCTAGTCTATAGTCTAGTCTATAGTCTAGTCTAGACTATAGACTAGACTATAGACTAGACTATAGACTAGACTATAGACTAGACTATAGACTAGACTATAGACTAGACTATAGACTAGACTATAGACCAGACTATAGACTAGACTATAGACTAGACTATAGACTAGACTATAGACTAGACTATAGACTAGACTATAGACTAGACTATAGACTAGACTAAAGACTAGACTATAAACTAGACTATAGACCAGACTATAGACTAGACTAGACTAGACTATAGACTAGACTATAGACTAGACTATAGACTAGACTATAGACTAGACTATAGACTAGACTATAGACTAGACTATAGACTAGACTATAGACTAGACTATAGACTAGACTATAGACTAGACTATAGACTAGACTATAGACTAGACTATAGACTAGACTATAGACTAGACTATAGACTAGACTATAGACTAGACTATAGACTAGACTATAGACTAGACTATAGACTAGACTATAGACTAGACTATAGACTAGACTATAGACTAGACTATAGACTAGACTATAGACTAGACTATAGACTAGACTATAGACTAGACTATAGACTAGACTATAGACTAGACTATAGACTAGACTATAGACTAGACTATAGACTAGACTATAGACTAGACTATAGACTAGACTATAGACTAGACTATAGACTAGACTATAGACTAGACTATAGACTAGACTATAGACTAGACTATAGACTAGACTATAGACTAGACTATAGACTAGACTATAGACTAGACTATAGACTAGACTATAGACTAGACTATAGACTAGACTATAGACTAGACTATAGACTAGACTATAGACTAGACTATAGACTAGACTATAGACTAGACTATAGACTAGACTATAGACTAGACTATAGACTAGACTATAGACTAGACTATAGACTAGACTATAGACTAGACTATAGACTAGACTATAGACTAGACTATAGACTAGACTAGACTAGACTATAGACTAGACTATAGACTAGACTATAGACTAGACTATAGACTAGACTATAGACTAGACTATAGACTAGACTATAGACTAGACTATAGACTAGACTATAGACTAGACTATAGACTAGACTATAGACTAGACTATAGACTAGACTATAGACTAGACTATAGACTAGACTATAGACTAGACTATAGACTAGACTATAGACTAGACTATAGACTAGACTATAGACTAGACTATAGACTAGACTAGACTAGACTAACTATACTAGACTATAGACTAGACTAGACTAGACTATAGACTAGACTATACTATAGACTAGACTATACTAGACTATAGACTAGACTATACTATAGACTAGACTATAGACTAGACTAGACTAGACTATAGACTAGACTATAGACTAGACTATAGACTAGACTATAGACTAGACTATAGACTAGACTATAGACTAGACTATAGACTAGACTATAGACTCTATAGACTAGACTATAGACTAGACTATAGACTAGACTATAGACTAGACTATAGACTAGACTATAGACTAGACTATAGACTAGACTATAGACTAGACTGTAGACTAGACTATAGACTAGACTATAGACTAGACTATAGACTAGACTATAGACTAGACTATAGACTAGACTATAGACTAGACTATAGACTAGACTATAGACTAGACTATAGACTAGACTATAGACTAGACTATAGACTAGACTAGACTATAGACTAGACTATAGACTAGACTATAGACTAGACTATAGACTAGACTATAGACTAGACTATAGACTAGACTATAGACTAGACTATAGACTAGACTATAGACTAGACTATAGACTAGACTATAGACTAGACTAGACTAGACTAGACTATAGACTAGACTATAGACTAGACTATAGACTAGACTATAGACTAGACTATAGACTAGACTATAGACTAGACTATAGACTAGACTATAGACTAGACTATAGACTAGACTATAGACTAGACTATAGACTAGACTATAGACTAGACTATAGACTAGACTATAGACTAGACTATAGACTAGACTATAGACTAGACTATAGTTTCATCTATATTCGAGACTAAAGTTTGATCTACAGTCTCTGCTATAGATCCATCTACAGTATCGATTATAGTATTTGACTATGGGCTAATCATAATTATATTCTCGATTAAAGTCTGATATAATATTGTCTCGATTATATTCTTATCTACCGCAAATAAGTACTATAGATAAGTACTATAGTTTCATCTATAAGCTGATCTATGGTCTACAATGTAGCCTCAACTGTAGTCTCAACTATAGTTTGATCTACAGTCTTCACTATAGTCTGAACTGTAATCTCGTACATAGTCTTATCTATAGAATGATCTCAACCATAGTCTCAACTATAGCCTTTTCTATGGTCGGATGTATAGTATCGACTATAATCTAATCTATAGTTTCGACTATAGTTTGATCTATAATCTCTACTAAATTTTTATATATAATCTGACATAAAGTCTTGACGCTAGTCTGAGATCACAAACATACATATATGTATATGGGTCTAGTAATAAGGAAAAAGTCTGTGCTTGGTGTTCCCCAAAAAAAAAAAAACAATAATTTGTTTAACAATCAAAAATTGTTTCCCTGGTTAGGCTGCTACTACTACAAATCCTTGCGCTATGGGACCTCTAGTTAAACTTTTCATTATAAAACAACATTATTAAAAAGTTGTTTAACAAAATTAGCACTCATTTGCATAATGAGGTCCGGCTATCTATTTCAGTTATTATTTAATATTCATCATGATACTTTGGTTCAATTGTCTATTACGTCTAGTTATTTATCATGGAATATTTGTGGGTTTCATCACCACTTATATCGATATCCCTAGACGTCTAATAAAATCCTATAAAGTGGTGAAAATCTTTGTATATTTCCAAAATTTTGTTAATATTGCCTTAACGACATGGTATTTTATAGAAGATTTCAAGCTGATTCAAGTTGACACGGTTAATACAAAAAATTTGGTAATATGGTATGCTTTTTATGGTGTCAAACTGTTTCGTCTGTTTACATTTGTAATGGTTACGTGGTTGCGTATGAAAGGCGATAAGTTTTTGGAAAAATGGCTCAAAATATTTCTGGCCCTGCAGATTAAATATTTTGATAAAATGCAAAATATGGTTGCCGATCGAACAACTAAAATAATATTGATACTCTGCATCATTATGATGACTGCAAATAGTTTGGCTAATTTCATTAAAATTGTTATAGCTTTACCAGTAGTAGATTGGTTGCATTTACTATTTGTTTATTTAGATGGCTGTTGTTATGCTCTGGAACATTATATAATGTTGCATCATGTTCTGATATTGTGTTATATTAATCACTGTTTTAATCAATTAAATGAAAATCTGCGATATGGAAAAGTGGACCCATCTTTTGTTAAGGTTAACTTTCAGCTTTCGAAATTATTGCAGGAAGTAAATGTCCTTTATAGTCCAGCCATATTTAGTGTGCTGCTATGTATACTCTTAACGAATTCTATGTTTGCTTATGATATCATAAGGGATATGAAATATTTCGACTATAAATTGGATTTATTTCGGTATTTATTAGAAGTAGGTATTTTAATATTTCTGTGCATCGATTTATACCTATATTTCTTAATATGTGATCGTGTGAACAAAACTACTAAAGAAACCAATACAATTTTATTGGAATATAATATTAGAAATGATAATCGGGATGTTTGTTTTAGCGATTACTTAAAGTTAAGATAGAATTTGTAATTATACTTTTTCAATTTCTTGTATTTTCAGGTTGAACTATTATATCTTGGACGTTTAGTTTTGCCACTTAACATCAATATCTGTGGCATGTTTGATATAGATTTTAGTACATTCTTTGCATTGATTTCGGAAATGGTTTTAATTGCAATTATTTTTGTTCAAATTTATTATACATTGTTAAAAGATTACTCGTATTCCTATGATTACTAAGTAGTTCAGATTTAATATATAAAATTTATTTTCTCTTATTCCTGTACAATTTTACAATGATTTTTATGTCTAAGTGTTTCAGTAGAAACGAACAGACAGGCATAGCTAAATCGTCTTAGACTTAGGACCTGTCCAGGTTGTAACATATTGTATTTAGTAACTCAACGATTATACTCTGAACTGTCATGTCGTTAGTCACGATTATAGCTGATCTATAGTCTAGGCTATAGTCCGGTATATAGTCGAGAATCTAGTTGAGACTATAGTCTGGTATATATTCGAGTCTATAGTCTGGTCTTTAGTCGAGATTATAGTCTGGTCCATAGTCTAGTC